GCCCCGCCCCGCCCCGGCCCCGTCCTGTCCTGCTCCCAGTTCTCCGAGGCCCTCCTGCGCGTGCGGTTGCAGCGTACTTACCGTCTGCACGGGCGCACTCCACTCACGTGTCCTCAGAGTTCTTCACGTTGTGGCACGTGTCATTTCCTTCCCCCAAGACTGAATAATATTTCATTGCTTATGTGCTCATTCTTGGATAGGCATTTTTAAAACGACTTATTTAATATTACTTCTTATTTTTTATTTGACCAGGGAGAGAAAAGTGAGAAAGCAAGCTGCCAGGTCCGGGACACGAACCATGGTTAGCCATGTGGGAGTCCAGCACCTAACCACCACATCTCCTGCTGACCCGTTGGAATAGGCATTCTTTTAAAGTTTATTTCTTTCACACGAGAGGGGGCAGAGTCAAGAATAAAAGGGACCAGCAGTTAGCCTAATGGCTATGTCGCTGAACTCCCACATAGTCGACCGCAGTTTGCGTCCCGGACCCGGTGGCTTAAAACTCAAGCCAGGTGCGTGTGCGTGTGTGCCCAAGATCCCGAGAGGAGAATGGAGGAAAAGGGATTGTGGCGTGACCATCCCCCCTGGGGGGTGATTTCTCACTTTCTGTCTCTCTGTCTCTCTCTGTCTGTCTGGCGAGCTCACGTGCCCTATAGCAAAAACCTCTCAAAAAAAAGAAAAAAGAGGGGGCAGAGAGACAGAGACAGGGCAAGACAGAGACAGAGAGAGACAGGCATCCCCATATCATTGTCTCTGCTGGGCCAGCCTCAGCCTCAGCCAGCCAGGCAGGCAGGTCCACAGGAGCCAGGAGACCTCAGTACAGAGCCCCGGACCTTACCACGGGACCAGCTTCCCAGAGTGCTGTGTCCGGCTGTCCCCAGCTGGCCTGTGGTGTCTGACCAGGACTTTTAGGAGCTGTGTTGTCAGGTGTCCCCTGACCTGTGGCACCCAGTCAAGGCCAAGGCCCGGGAGGTCTGAAAACTGGAGTGAGTGGAAGGGGCTGGCTGGGTGTAGAGGGGCCTGTGGGCCCGGCCAGCACCCTGGATCTTCTCCAGGTACCCTGGCCTGCCCTCCCTGGACCCGGGGCCTGCCGGTGTGCCTCCGCGTGTTGTGTTTGGTCAGACAGACCTGATCGGAGCAGTGCTGGGTGTGCACGCCGACCACTCTGGTCCCCTGCGGTGGGACGCGGTTGGGTGGCCCCGCATGTAACGGTGAGCGCGGTCCCGCCCTGTGCATTTGTGGGCTGGAGCCATACCGGGCTGCGCCAGTGCTTCTGGGGCCAGAAGGAATGAGTTGCTTAAGAAATTCTCCGATTCTGAATTTATTACCCAATTATCAGGGCCTCCGTCTGGAGGCCGTCGCGAGTCTGGCTGCAGGTGTGTTTATTTCCAGCCAGTGCTTTCATTTCATTCTTCCTTCCTCTCGCCCCCTCCCCTCCCGCCGCCCCCATTTTTTTTCCCATGTGCCGCCACCCCCCCTGCCGCATGGCGGCCGCATCTGCTGTTCTTGGGGCAGCTGACACTATTCCCTTGCTTTCACTCTTCTGTCAGCTCTGACCCTGTGAACACGCAGACCCTGGGTGGTTGCGGGGCAGACCCCGGGCTTTGCGTGGATGAAGCACAGAGCCCAGGTAGAGAGTCCGCCTCATGTGTGTCCTCCGTTCTGTTTTGCAGGGGAAGTGGAGGTTCCAGATGCAGTCGATCCTCTGGGACGAGTGGAGGGACGGGACAGCCCTGTTCCGACTCTGAAAGGTAACTGGGAGGGCTGGGGCTCTTGGGTGCTTCTGGGAAGCCCCTGGGAAGCTCGTGTTGCTTCTGCTCCAGGCTGGACCTGCCTGAGTAGATGGGGGTGGGTGCCCTCGCCAGCCGCCCCCTGCTGGGGGGGCCTGCTGGACCGTCCGCCCGACTGGGGGCTCGGAGGGCTGGTGTGGGGTGGGTGGGGCCCCTTGGCAGGGCAGGAGCAGGCCCTGGGTGCTCGGTGGGCCCAATCAGTGCCCAAGAGGTGGGGTCCAGTCTGGGCCTTGTAGCCTGTAGGCAGGTGTCTTCTAGTATGGATGTGGCAGTGTCGCGGGCAGGCCCTCCCCCACACTGCCATGTGGGGGACACTCCTGTCTTGTTGCTTCGACCTTGCCCAGGTTTGTGCCAGGGCCGTGCTCATTGGGCACATGTGGTAGGCATCGTGGATCCATGGAACCGACAGGACGAGATTCCCTCAGGCCCGGACCAGTTCCTTAAGAAAGGGGCAGCTTCTCGAATCTGTTCCCAGTCCCCGTATACACGTAGATCGTCTCAGTGGGCTCGGCCGCCGTGGCAGAGTGCCACGATGGGGAGCTTAACCACAGGCCTCTGCTCAGTCCTGGAAGCCGGGAGTCCAAGGTCAGGGTGCAGCGGGTGGGTTCTCGGTGGGTGCGCTCTTCTTGCCTTGCAGACGGTCACCTCCTCACTGTGCTCTCATGGTGGGGGGACTCTGTTTGAGTCCTCCTCTCACCTCGATGACCCCGCTCCCAAGACGTCATCTGACCCGCGTCACTGTCCTAGGCCCCCCTGCACACACAGCGTAACGAGGGCGTCCACTCCCACAGTCAGAGCAGCAGCCCTGGCCCTGCGCGTCTGCAGGAGGCTCTGCAGGCCACGGCAACTTCTTGGCCCCCACACATGGAGTGTGAGCTCCAGCCTGAGGAGGCCCCCCTGCACGCACAGCTTAGCAGCAGCCCTGACCCTGCGCGTCTGCATATGACTCGGGGCCACAACGGCTTCTTGGCCCCCACACATGGAGTGTGAGCCGCCACGTGAGGAAGCCCCGTTGCACACACAGCATAGCAAGGGTGTCCACTCCCATGGTCAGAGCAGCAGCCCTGCGCGTCTGCAGGGGGCTCGGGGGCCACGACGGCTTCTCGGCCCCCACACATGGAGGCGCCCTTGCCCCGTGGGGACGTGTCACCTCCAGGGTGTAGCAGCCGTGGCACACATCTGCTGGCCTTGGCCTCAGTGCTCGGAATGTCCCTTTGTGTCCCGAGACCCCGTGGTCTTCACCGTCACTGGTGGGCACCATCTGTGAGGAGGGGCAGCTGTTTTAAACGAGAGCGGCCAGGGGTCAGAGGGCCCTGGCAGCAACGCGGAGCTCTGTGAGGCCGGCCCGCAGGGACTGTGCAGGGTCCTATCCGGAGACCTCCCCAAACGTACTGGCACCCACGGCACGCCCGCGGCCACCTGGCTGACTCGGGTGGGCCGTGTGTGAGGACCCGTTGGCGTGCTCTCACCAGCTCTCTTGCTCATGCAGAGAGGAAAAGAGAGACCTAGAGACAAGAGCAGTGGGAGCCCAGCCCACCCTGGGGCGGAGGTGGGGCTGGTGCCTGCCCTTGGGGGCTTCGTGGGGAGGCCTGTGTCCTCTGGGGGATGTTAACTGCGGTGAACACACGTGACCTCCATGTGTGGGCCACCTGCCTGCAGCCCTCAGGCAGGGGCCACGCCCTCGCAGACCCAGGCTGCGTGTTCCGGAGGACACCCGTCTCACCCCGGGGGGTCCGATCGCCTGTGTAGACCGCAGCCAGCATCACACCGGCCCCAGGGCGTGGAGACCTGAGCTCCGGAAGCTGGTGGCGCACTGGACTGTGGCCAGCACATCCTGAGAAAGTGGCCTTGGGTAGTTAGATTCTCACGCTTCTCCTAAGCCCAACTCGGTCCACGGTGCGGAGGCCTACGTGTCCCCGGTCGCCCTGCCGTGGTCTCTGGACAAGGTGCTGGGGCCTGGCGGGGTCCAGGTTGTGCCGTGTGCCTCGTGGAGAGTTGACGTCCGAAGGGAAACTGCAAGGTTCCTATACGTCTCCAGCTGTGGTGACTGGCCAGACTGGAGGCTCGGGGCTTGGGGAGCTAGAAGAGAAAGGGCATCTCCGTTTAGGGCAGACCGTCGGCCGCGATCTGGGCAGCCAGCGCTGGCCGAGTGACTGTGGAAGGGAAGCATGTCCTGGCCCAGGCGAAGGCAGAGGAGGAGCCGAGGGGAAGTCGGCGTCGGGGCCGGTAGGGGCTGCTGCACCGCTCAGCCAGGCAGCACAGCGCCCCGCACGTGTAAGCTGGTGAAATTCAGTGCAAGTGAGGTTTCGGGCCTGGCCGTGGTGGCAGGCGGAGGGTGCTGTTGTGCAATACCAGGGCACGTGGGAGGCCCAGGTTCAGATCCCGGGTCAGCCTGAATGCGCCAGGCACACCCATCCCCTGGGGCCCGGCTGGCTGGAAGGCTGTGGGTGTCCATGGCATTCCGAGGCCCCGTCAGGGACTCCTGTCAGTCTGCCCCGCTCTCTCGAGATAGAAATAAATACGGACTTCTCTAAAAGGTGGGGATTCGTTGCTCAGGCATCTGAGTGGCAGGAGGTGCTGATCTCAATTCCGACATCACAGGACATGCCCTCGGGCAGCCCCGGCTGTGGGGCACTGCGCTCTCCTGGGCACAGAAGTCCGGTCTGTTCTGGCTGTGGACGCTGGCCAGGAGCTGGCGGGTGCCCACCGCACCCAAGAGGCTGCTCTGCAGCCTGGGAGGATGGTCGAGGAGGCGGAGAGGGGCCACTCCGCAGGCTCTGCAGGCTCCTTGGGGAAGTGCTGCACGTCGTGTTCAGGTGCACTCTGGCCACTCACCCAGGGCAGGGTGCTGGGAGAGGTCTCTGCAGAGATACCCAAGGCAGGAGCAAGGGGAGAACTTGGGGCAGGGCTGCTCCTTAGGAAGAGGGATGGTAGACCAGCCCTGGGGGCAGAACCAACCACGGGAGCCCTGATTCCCGCAGGAAGATTCCGGCAGGAAGGTGCAGTTCTTCCCAAGGTGAGGCAGGGAATGCCGTCGGCTCAGCTGGACTGCGAGGTCCCGCCCTCGGGGCCCCCGCCCCAGCCTGCCCCAGACATTCGGGGTCCGCCTGTGCCCCCGAGTGGGGCTTTGGACCGTTGTGTTGCCGAGCCACTTTCTGAAGTGCTCCTTGTCGATCTGGGGTTGGAGTGGCTCCTGACACCTGTCCTCTGCCCACGCCATCTGCCTCAGCCGTCTGAACACCCAAAGGAGCTCTCTTGTTTTCTTCTTTCCATTTGTCAGAAGGCATGTGCTCTAGCCGGAGGGAGGGAGAGGAGAAAAACAGCCTCCAGTGGGACGTGGTCATGCCACCGTCCTTCCCCCTCTCCGGTCAGGGCTTCGAGTGCATGCACGTGCCTAGCCTGCTTTTCAAGCAGCGGGGGCCGGGATTCAGCCCCTGGCCAGCCACACAGGTCCCAGCTCCCTTCACCACCAGGCCACAGGGGGGCCGCCCGAAGGCTTTTCCGTCAGAACTCCGAGTCTGCTCTACTCTCCCCTGAGCACGGGAACATGGCTGGCTGAGGGGAACTGCTCACACGAACGCGCACACGCGTGCTTGTCTAAGGGCGCTTACTTACAGCCAGAGCCAGGCCTGGGAGGTGGCGCCTCCACCCTCCCTGGGGCCAGGGCCCAGGCCAGGCGACTCTGACTGTTGGGAGATGGCAGCCCTCCATTTGCAGGGGCGCTGAAGGCCTTCCTTGTTCACAGCCAGCACCCCAGACAGCTGGCCACGATTACTGGGGAGCCATCGCCCCAGAGGGTGGGACCCGCAGGAAGCTGCCCCCCAGGGGTCTTAGGGTAGCCCTAGGTCCCCAGACTCACCCCACAACCCAGATCCCTGGTCCTACGCTCTCCTTTCTGGGCTGTGGGCTGTAGCCCTCACAGAGGGGCCGCCCCACCCTCCCTGTGTCCTCCCTTACCGCTCCGGCCTCCCGTGATGGGTGGCCTCTGCCTCGCCACACGCATCATGTCTGCTCTGTTTTCCTCCAAGACACTTGGGGAGTGTCGCAGCGAGCCACGTGCAGCTCCACCCGACATGTCAGGGGCCAGGCTGACTGCACCTGCTCGGAGCTCCGTGTCGGGCGTGCGCGCATCTGGGAAACCACGGGCAGCTGGATGAGCTGAGCCTGT